CAGCAACATTACACACTAACGTTAAAAAAGTGAAATCGCAATGAACCACCCCTTTAATTTCTATCATTTCTTTCACCCCCCAAAAATTATACTGACTCCAAGCGTTTGAATGGTATAGTGTATAATGTTACAAAACTTTTTTTTATTTCAGATAAATCCTGATCTTTGGATCTTTTTATTCATCAAAGAATTCAGAAAAAAATGTACTCAACTGTGTTTAAATATTGATAATAATAATAATAAAGTAAAGAAAAAAAACAAGTGCATATTTAATTTTTTTTTTAAATGTTTTATTCATTCAAGAATTAAAAAAAAATAAATAAATGACCAAATATTTCACAAAAGTATTAAGCAGCACAACTGTTTCAACATTGATTATAATAATAATAATAATAATAAAATGTTTCTTGAACAGCAAATCAGTCTATTAGAAAGAATTCTCAAGGATCATGTGACACTAAAGACCGGAATAATGATGCTGAATATTCAGCTTTGATCACAGGAATAAATTACATTAAAAAAAATATTCAAATAGAAAGCAGTTATTTTAAATAGTAAAAATATTTCACAATAATACTGCTTTTGCTGTAGTTTGGATCAAATAAATGCAGGCTTGATGAGCAGCAGAGAAAACATTAAACATCTTACTGTTTAAAAACTTTTGACTGGTAGCGTGTAGCCTATATAGATATACTTTGTATTTCTAGCATTTCTCGTGTTATCGCCTCCTTACTATAATCCTTTGTTGTATTCCTCATTTCTAAGGCGCCTTGGATGTTGATTGGTGCAGCCAGCAACACATCATTGACGTAATACGCACTTGATGATATTCACAAACGCAGGGGCGGATTCAATTCGTAACTTCAGACGGACACAGAGCTCAAGACAGAAGCGGAAAAAGTTCAACACGTGCTCTCTGTTAACAGCGTAAACTGCAAAACACAAAACTTAATCTCACTTTAAATTCGCAACGCATTTAAAATCTTACGATGCCAGCCCAAATCATCTGCGGGAAAACGATCTCAGCGTAAGCTATTTTCTTTTAAGTTCTTTTAAGTTAAGTTTTTTTATTCATGTCACGTTGATAGAGCCTTGAAATATTTTTATTTATTTACATGTTTCATGCTCTCACGTAACGTTACTTGTGTAAAGTTGAATGCGTTTTTTATGCCCCCAAAATTTGTGATTGTTTTAAAGGTTTTTGGGCACATATTATCTTCTTAGTGAACCGGTCGAACCAGTTCACCAAATCGAACTGAATCGTTTGAAACGGTTCGCGCCTCCAGTACACACTAATCCACAAATTACTTAAGTTATTCGGTTTTTAAACGTGCCTGACACTCCCTCTGACGCGAAATAAACAAATATCCCGAGTTATTCAGTTACTCCTAACAGTACATTGACTGAACTGCTAAAAGAGAACCGATGATGGGATGTGCACGAGCAGAGCAGCTGGTCTGAGTCTCATCCTGCTGGGAGACGGCATCACAGTATGTTAAGGGGCGTAACATTTCCGTCACACG